GCGGAGGAAGTACATGTTGTTCTTAGCACAGCTCTGTAGTTCTAAGATGTCCCATGCACCAAAGTGCATCACTTTGGCTATCACTCTCTTGCCATGGTTGGCTATCACCGCTCTCTTGCACGGTGTGTATGCCGATTGGTCACGGACAGGGCCACACGTTGAGTGAAATAAAATAAGTAAATACTAAAATAACTATGTTAGTAGCTCTGGTCCTCTTCTCTTCTTATCAATTAGTCCTCGGCTCTCCACCCGAGTCTAACCACTGCGCAAAGTGAGAAACTTTTGCTAGAGATTGAATTTTGCAATTTTCGCAACCATCGCACATTCGCGAATATAAATCGCCGCAAACTTCTCCGTACATTGATTGTAGGCAGTACAAGATCCGACTGAAGGCATAGAATCGCAAAAGTTTCTCATCGTGAACCAGCCCAATTTATGAAAACGCTAAATTTGCGCGCCGCGATAGTTTGCTGCTTTACAATATGTTTGTCCTGACGACTCTTGCAGCTTCGTGCCTGTCCTCAGTGACTAGCAGTGGTCTTGAACTGTGGGTATTAACCTTTGCCATTAAAGTATGACACATTGTGCTTTTGGTGCATGACTGTACTTTATTTTTCAAGCCAGATAACACAGCACCTTTTTATCTTCACTAAAAGTTTGACATCCAGGTGTATCTAATTCCGCATTAAATCTTATTAGTGGCTCAGCTTCCGGGTTAACAACGATCTGTCGTTAACTTCGCGGTTGTTTTCCCGATCTAAAATGTGCGGAAAGGACAGGACTTGCTAAACGGCTTGGGCAACAGAGTTTTGTCGCTCACCTCAATTTGGCGTTATATGCAAGGTCGTTGTATCCAATCTCCACTGTATCCGTGTGTTCTGCTTAGGTTCTGGAGCATGTTATTGTCGACAGTCTTCAGGTTGCAAACATCTACGTCAATCCTGTCCAGTATGGGTTCTTCATGAGTCCGAATGGTTCCAGTGGTGTGGTGGAGAACTGTGCTACGCTGCTTGTTCAGAACAAAGAGCGAGACATCTACCTCTCTGTACAGGAACTGACGAATGCTGTTGAAGTGAGTGTGGCTAGTTAGCTTTCTGTGTGTGTGTGTGTGTGTGTGTGTGTGTGTGTGTGTGTGTGTGTGTGTGTGTGTGTGTGTGTGTGTGTGTGTCCAAGTCCAAGTCCAAGTCCAAGTCCACCCAGAGTTTTGGGGATTTCAGGGGTGTCGTCCGTTGGGCGTTTCAATAGCCAATTGCTTTCCAAGATTCCTTTTGAATCTCTCTCCCCTTTCCGGGGAGGCTCTCGTAATCAGTCATGGCAGTGAGCAAGTACAAGTGTGTGTGTGTGTATGGAGGGGCGTCGGAAGGTAATTTAGTGTGGTACGGTCAGCCATCTGAAGTACAATTTACTCGTGGGGGGGGGGGAGGTGGCTGAGCCGAAAAATTTGGACAATTAGAGCCCGAATCAGTGCATTTTTTTGATTCACCGGGTACTTGGGTCAAATAGTGGTACGGCCAATACCGTATTGACCGTACCGTGTGCGGCGCCCTGGTATGTGTTAGTGTGTGTGTGTGGGGGGGGGGGGGGGGGGTGTGACAAGATGAAGACGAAAGACGTTTTCGAAGTGACCCGTGGCCGTCCTGTGCCGTTGTCCTTCGTCCTTCGCCATCATCTTGTCATAGCTAGCATTCTTAGTTCGCTGTGATGTTTAGCTTGTTTTCGTCTATGGTGCGCTCACCTTCCCCTTTCTAATGTTATTTCATAACTGTAAACCTTGCAAGTTTGAAAGCTGTTGGTTTGCACATTGCATCCGTGATACAGTTAAGCATCAGGTCGTTGAATGTCAGTATCACATAATCAAGAGTCAGTTTTGTGCTAGTTGTTGCACGTTTTCACTCACTAGTATCCTGCTTAGAATGGTAATACCGGGTGTTATTGCAGTGCAAGCAATGTCCGTGTGTGTCTCTGCGTCTGTTCTTTGTTTGGCTCCGTGCAGCAACGTCATATCAGCAAGAAAGAGGCCACCTCCCAATCCATCACCAGTGTGTTCAAGGAAGACTGGGAGGACGCTGTGATCTGGAGCTACGTTACCGTTGGCATTGTGCTAAGCCTGGGCCTGGCATTTCACTTCCTCTACTGGAGACCAAAGAGGAAGGCAGCTCTCCTCGCCAAGCGAATGAAGTATGACCAGTTGGATGGAGACGGTAAGGAGTAAACACACGTCCTGTTTTGTATCCTTGTGCTACTGCTATTCCTGCTGCTGTTGCTGCTGCTTTGCTGCCACCGCCACTGCTGCTGGCGGCATTCAGCTGCAGTCGTACATACTAGTTGAGGTACTGGTGGTGGTGATGTTGATGGTGTCATTGTCTTTGACGCTCACTGCTTTTTTTGGAGGAGAATGGAAGAATACTTTTCTCTCCTCTCTATCTCTCTTTCTCTCTCTCTCTCTCTCTTCTCTCTCTCTCTCTCTCTCTCTCTCTCTCTCTCTCTCTCTCTCTCTCTCTCTCTCTCTCTCTCTTATAGAGGTCTCAGTCCTCATTTGTTAGACTTACCTGTCTTTATAAATGTAACTTACTCTCTCTCTCTTCTCTCTCTCTCTCTCTCTCTCTCTCTCTCTCTCTCTCTCTCTCTCTCTCTCTCTCTCTCTCTCTCTCTCTCTCTCTCGTGTTCATTTCTACAGACTCCCCATCTCCATCTATTCCACTGGCTACGGTGAATCGATCCAACAGTAGTGTTACAATCACCCTGGATAGCTTGGGAGAATCTCCAGACAAAACTGTAAGTAGACCTGATTATTTTCACCACTTCTCTTCTTACTGCACTTGTCGTCTTCAATGTGCACTTGACTTATTGGTTGTATGTGTGTGCATTCATGCGTGTGTGTGTGGGGGGGGGGGGGGGTGTATGTGCATGTGTGTGTGGTGAGTGTGTATCGGGGGGGGGGGGGGGGGGGGGGGATGTGTGAGGGAATATCTGCAAATGTATTCTTGGTAGATTTTAATTTGGTGATGCCATCTTCAGTAGGTACGTCAAATAGTAGTGGTAGATTTTTCTTTTGACCAGACGCGATCAGACGACGCTTGCAGACACCAGCACGAGCACTGCACCAGTCACACTCCACAACAGCTAGAAGTTGCTCCTGGCAAGCCTTGTTTCGTTCCAAATGTATTCTCTTGGTGTGTGTCTGTGTGCAGGCCAAAATCAAGGAACTGTTGCAGAAGCAATTCCGTGAGATGAAGCAACTGGAGTTTGAGCGCGATACTCGAATGCAACAATGGGAGGAGAAGCGTCGGAATCTGATCGACCGGCACGACTCCGAACGGCAAGACCTGCTCAAATGATGCGACAAGTCGGAAAGTCGCAACCTTTCTTACAAGCGATTTTATATGCGGTCACTCACTTGCGTAAAGTGCTTGAGTACTCGGTATGTACTAATGTAGCTTTTCTCTCTTGTTTGCTTTGCCACAGGCAGACTGAGTACATGTAAAAGTTTAGTAATAGTCTGTTGTTCTGTTAGTGTGTGCTGGGTACTGTGAGGGAGACGTTTTCCTGATCAGTGTCCCTTGCTAACGACCGGCTTTTTCCTGTGCGTCAATTCGAATTTGGAGATTTATTTATTATCCAATTTCTCCCTGTCAACTCCATTCTCCTGCTTCTGTCTGTTTTATGCATCCACCACGTACTCGACCTGCGGGCAGTTAGTTTCGTCCTTTGTGACGCACCAGCACAGCACAGAAAAATTAGACTAACCATTGACAAAGCATATAATTGAATCTATCACTTCTGTTATGACCCTATTGGCAAAGGAGGAGCTGGTTTTCTCTCCCTATCAGGTGCTATCTATGACTATACCTTTTCTTATTATTTTAGTACACCAGACGTTTTGCAGCAGGACTGAGCAAAATGAAGCCTGTTGACACCTGGTTTGTGTGTGTGTGTGTGTGTGGTGTGTATGTGTGTGTGTGTGTGTGTGTGTGTGTGTGTGTGTGTGTGTGTGTGTAGTTGTGTGTGTGTGTGTGTGTGTGTGTGTGTGTGTGTGTGTGTGTGTGTGTGTGTGTGTGTGTGTGTGTGTGTGTGTGTGTGTGTGTGTGTGTGTGTGTGTGTGTGTGTGTGTGTGTGTGTGTTTCCCATATGGTGCAGTGGTATGTGCAGCTATTTCCAATCGAGAGGTTGCGGGTTCGATTCCCGATGATTATGGTCACACAATTCTTCTCTTTCTCAGACTCCTGATATTTCTTTCATTTTCCTGGGTGGTTAGCACTGGTTACCAACAGCCAGTGCATGCCGGGGTATGTGGTGTGATATGTGTGCAGGAAAAAATGAAAAAGACCAAAATTAGAGATTCACTGGCCAGAAAAAGCCACTTCATGGCTGTGTGGTGTAGACCAGGCTGAATAGTGGCGGTCAGTTCTTCAGCCTTGCAAACTGTTGAATGGTGCAATCCCAGCACAAGTTGCTATTGCTTCTGCTGTAGCATCGCTAATAGCCTATCATCGCCTCCAGCGATGGGCGTCAAAAGGTGTGTGTGTGTGTGCAGGGTGTAGGGTGTGCACAGGTATAACTGTCTTTGCTGTCGTATTCCGACACCGTGATAAACTGCATGGTGTAGACCATGCAGGTATGCTGTGGAGGTCGACTCACATGGCTTTGCCAATTGTGTGATTTGGGCAGTTATCTGGCCCTAGTCTTGCTGTGTTCCATAGAAATCTTGTCCGCTATCATTATTAGAGAACATCTGCATCCATACCGCACTCGTGCGATTCTCTTGAATGGTGCCCTATCTTCAATAGGGACCCAGTCTCTAAGAGTAAGAGCCAGTGAAAAAATAAGTGCAATGCACTATTTTCTTGCTACTACAGGTATATACTTTGCGCTGAAGTACAGCACCTGTGTAAGCCCGCTGGATCGCTATCTCGTACGTGACAACGACCGCAGCTAGAGAACTGTATAGCCAGCTTAGAAAGTTTCACTATCAATGCCAGGCTACCAGGTGCAGTCAAAGACAACCTTGGGCCATGATAATAGCTGTTTGTGGTGGCAGTTGTAACGACCAGTCAGGCCAGCACTTGAATCCACAGTCCCTACAACAAACAGATCGGAACACGCCCCTTCAATCAGACATTTGTTTCGGTTAAGAGTGTACGACAAAGAGTGATCACTTACTCTGTGCTCAAACAAGAAGTTCAGGTGGCGATCGTACCAGGGAAGCCTACAAAAATGATGAAGATATCAATGAGGGATTTGCTTCAGTGGGTACACATCCAGAAGCAATAGTTCTTATAGAAGATTTCAAAGTCATGTGCACAAATAGGGAAGGAACAAGAAGTGAAAAATAGCAAGAGGCTATTAGAGAGGAAGAAGAAGAAGCGAGACAGAATGAAGTTGATTGTAGACCATAACTTGAACGATGTAATTATGCCAAAGTTCAGCGCCGCGCTTGCAGCTGATATAACCAGGCTGTTTTTAATAGGACGCTAGCAGGTGCTGGGAGTTCCAGTCGCTGGACACGATGGGCGTACATCGTGTGTCAGCTCGTGTGTGACCGGTCGTTATTGCTCAATGGTGCTCATGTCATGTGCGTGTGCACGTCGTGGGGGCACAGCAAGTGACAGCAAAACAGTAATTTCAACGGTGAAAACGAAATGAAAAATCAAATCAGCAACAATGGCAAGGGAGAACAAGGGGTAAGTTGAGCGGCAGGGAGAGCACGTCTTAGCAGGTGATTCAGTTTCAAGTCATATATACAATGAACCATTCAATAAAGTCGTCTCCGTTCTGCTTGGCAACTGAGTGGCGCGCACTCCAACAACCATGCATGCCGCAGTAGGCCAGGCGTGCCAGGGTCAGGTTGTAGTTCCATTGCAGATATCTGTCAAAGTCAGTCAAGTGATGATCGGGTACGTTGTTAAAAAAGGCATGTCAACAGCTCTCATGCAGCAGCCAGTCGTGGAGGCGGATGACCGAGCACGCACAGGCGGCGGAACTCACTTGGTCGCCTCGGACATCTCGCTCCAGGGCACTACGATGCGCAACACAAACGAGTTTGCGGCATTCAGGCCGATCTCGTCGAGGCGCTTGAACGGCACAAACGTGGCCCGGCCCCAACCTCGCTTGTTGCGTTCCGTCTTGGGCCGTGCCGTGATCAGGCGGATGGACTCTTCTCGCGTCGGCGGCATGGACCGGTCCTGTATGACAACCTTGTGCGTCACGCTGTGCAGCGCCTGCGGGGAACAGTGAATACAGGCATACACGCATGCGCGCATACACGTGCACATGCACACGCACACACGTACAAACACACACACACAAACACACACACACAAACACAGCATGTACAAATCAGCCTCGTCTCGAGAGTCAACTAGAGAATTGGCAGTCGGGGATTGAAATCCACTCGACGTGGTGCTCCAATCACTCCGCTTCATTTCCCAAGATGCAAAAAAATCTCTACTGTGCATGTAACTTGTCAGCAACACATGTGCAGGTCCATCCATCCATCCCACCCACCACACTCACGACAAATGACACACGACAAATTAAACACAGACACAGATACACGACAAATTACACGCAGACACAAATACACACACACACACACACACACACACACACACACACACACACACACACACACACACACACACACACAGTGCACACCTGAAATGTCACTGGTCGACGGAATGGCCACTCCAGCCTGTCGTCATTCTTGCCTCGTGCCACACAGTAGAAGGTGGATATGGCTTGATCTTGGTAGCCAGTCTCAACACGCAAGACAAGCCTGTAGCCACTGTCACAGGGTCCTGGCGAAGAGATAGGCAGAGAAAGACAGGTTGACATGGAGAGAGGCACTTAGAAAGACAGGGAGAGAGACAAGGAGAGTGAGAGGGAGGGGGGGGGGGGGGGGGGAGGGAGATCCAGAAACAGATAGAGATCTACATTATCATTCAGATCAGGAGTGGTGGAAAACTCAGTGTGGCCAATTCGCTTGCGAACCGTTGACAAAAAGATGGGACCGACAAACGAGACACCACTACAAGACGTTTTCAGACGTGAAAGGAAAGCAGGTTGTCAATATACAATGAGCGGGCTGGCAGCTAATGACCCTCGCTATACTTGTTTGTTACCTACGTAATCTTGTTTGTTACCTACGTAATCTTGTTTGTTACCTGGCTAATCTTGTTTGTTACCTAGCTAATCTTGTTTGTTATCTAGCTAATCTTGTTTGTTATCTAGCTAATCTTGTTACCTAGGTAATCCTACCGATAAACGTGTTGCTTTCGGTCCACACATGATGGTGAGCATAAACGTGTTGCTTTCGGTCCACACAGGATTGTGAGCAGTCACGCGATGATCGAGCCGCGGGCCTACAGCGCTGCTGCTGCTATTACGCCACCTACAATTCTTGGTCGCCAACGTGATCACTCATGTGATAAGCAAACATGCCCAGCGCATACTACATTATGCGAAATGAAGAGTGGGGGGATCACACATTTTCTGGTAAAACAATGATGCACAGAATGGACAAAAAAGTGGTATAAGAGTGGTACTTCCAAGTAGAACGAAAGTAACATACCGATATAGAACGGCTCGCTGAACAATCGGTTCTTGGAACCATCCAGGTATCGCTTGAAGTCGGTGAAGACCCAGGTGAAGACCGTCGTGCGCTCATGATTCGGCGTACTGGCTGCCATCCAGACGTGCGATGTCAACGAATCCACACTCTGAGCAAGCAGGATCTGGTGTTCCAACATCGAATGTCGCAAGTGCTCTGCAAGCTCACAGCGCAACAGCTGCATGGAGACATAGTGAGTGCACATATACACACACACAGACATAAACAGACAGACAGATACACACACACACACACACACACACACACACACACACACACACATAAACGGACATACAGATATATACACACACACACACACACACCATGCAAAGATATGCATACACCGGCTTGCATGTGCACACACACACACACACACACACACACACACACACACACACACACACACACACACACACACACACACACACACACACACACACACAGGATCAAAACAGGCACGTATGCACGGACAGACACACAGACACAAAGAGTGCGAGAAAACGTGCGCCCACAACCACACGCACATGTATAGAAAACATAGGCGTCGACTACTGTGGAGTTCGCTCCGAACACTAGGGCTTGGCGGATAATGCCGGCAGAAAAATTGGCAGAATTAAGTACATTTTCTGGTAAGTTTCATGCATGTTTGGTATGTGGATAAAGAAATGGAGCAGAATTCGAGGAATTGCCCGCCATAAGGTTTGTATGGTTCTGCCAATTTCGGTGCAAAAAAAGCAGAATCTGCCACCTTTTCGAGCATTATCCGCCAAGGCCTACCGAACACTCCACAGCACTGGTACAAACAACAACAACAACAACAACAACAACAACAACAACAACAACAACAACAACAACTGTAACTGCTTCATGTCACCCGTTGTAAAGAGATAGCCCGTGGCAAGCAAGGGTTAGCTGTGGCAGATAATGGCAGTGATAACAAGACCGCTGTAAGCTCAAACCAATGAAACTCAACTTGACACTGAACGGAGTCACAACACCTACGCTGAGCACACAAGAAATCCCATCACACCCTCCGCTCGGCAAACCAGCTGGTGTTGATATACATTATGTGGAGATGAGAGGTATTGCAAAAAGAACACACACACACACCACGCACAGTGGCCACCATCTTTCTGCATCAAAGAACCAAGCTAAAGTACCTAGTATGTTCACATGAACAAGAACAAACCTTTGATTTGCACCCTGCTCCAATGCGTACAAACTTGCAAGGAACCAGGGACTGCGGGCAAACCTCCGCGATGTGCTCATCCACCTAAGAGAATAATACGACACAGCACAGGCATCGATCAGAAGATACAACTTGATATGGTTTGTTTCTAGCTCAGAGACAGAAGAGAGCCTTTGCATCCCCGGGACGTGCACTGCAGGGGACACGTAGGTCTACATGGAACGGTCAGCAACTCAAGATGTGTGTAGCCAGACGAATGGACCCCCTTGCACAGCCGTCGCACATCCAGGTCACACTTGTGCACTCATTCTCCGCACAGTGTACATGCTGCTTATTGTTTGTGTTCGTGAGATCCAGCAGGCCAGAGGACCAGCATCACCAGTCACCTATCATAGGCGGAGACTCGGGCTTTTCCTAACAGAGCAATACAATCCTCCTTCTTCGGTAGACAATTTTTCAAAGTTCGAGCCATCATAACCCCCACACTCTTTAGTTACAGATTTTACTGTAGTACCAGACTGGTCGCTAGTCACGCTGGTCTTTAGCAACAGGTTTTACTGTAGTACCAGACTGGTCGCTAGTCACGGTGGTCTTTAGCAACAGGTTTTACTGTAGTACCAGACTGGTCGCTAGTCACGCTGGTCTTTAGCAACAGGTTTTACTGTAGTACCAGACTGGTCGCTAGTCACGGTGGTCTTTAGTTACAGGTTTTACTGTAGTACCAGACTGGTCGCTAGTCACGCTGGTCTTTAGTTACAGGTTTTACTGTAGTACCAGACTGGTCGCTAGTCACGCTGGTCTTTAGCAACAGGTTTTACTGTAGTACCAGACTGGTCGCTAGTCACGCTGGTCTTTAGCAACAGGTTTTACTGTAGTACCAGACTGGTCGCTAGTCACGCTGGTCTTTAGCAACAGGTTTTACTGTAGTACCAGACTGGTCGCTAGTCACGCTGGTCTTTAGCAACAGGTTTTACTGTAGTACCAGACTGGTCGCTAGTCACGCTGGTCTTTAGCAACAGGTTTTACTGTAGTACCAGACTGGTCGCTAGTCACGCTGGTCTTTAGCAACAGGTTTTACTGTAGTACCAGACTGGTCGCTAGTCACGCTGGTCTTTAGTTACAGGTTTTTACTGTAACTGCATACCACCCAGTTGCTCACCTTTGTTCGTTGCAAGTTCTCTCCGCACTTCTGAGGACAGGTCACCTGGCAATCATCACTACGACAATGCGCCTGAGAGAGAAGGAAGCAAAGTCACGACAACGTAAACAAAATTCACGGTTCGCGTTAGACTCGGCTAGTGGCCGCGTTTTCCGCATCCGAAGGAACGCCAGCACCCTTTAAGGATCAAGGCAACGTAAGCAACGTAAGCAGACGTCTTTATCACACACACAGAATCTCACACACTAGCCCCGGGCCTGAGCAAAAAAACGCACGGCGCAAATACGGCGCTGTGCTATCCCTACCGCCGTGTAAACGGTCAATGCAACATACTCCGCTCCATGATGAAGACACAATGGTGAATTGGGTAGTGATCGTAGCACTTCATCTTTGCAGCGGAGAAGAGGGTATTATTCTCCTTTAGAGGCACAGTACGTCGTCACACTTACAGCGTAGTCTCCTACAAGGCCTATCCATTGACATCCAAGGTCGGAAGATTCGCAGCGAATCTTGATGTCGTTGATACGTCTCCCCAGACTTAGGTCAGGTACAACCTACGACACGACATACAGACACACATGAAGGGCCTTGAAGGCAAGCACAAGCACTCGCACCCGCAAGCACGCATATGCCCTGGAACAATAATATGTGCGCCAAGCACTGTCTCCACACGACTCAGAGATGATCTCCAGCAAACAGAGCCAAGTATTTTGAGTAAGCAACCCACGGCGCAGAAGGAACACCATGTCAGCTTCTAGACAGTACAGAGTTACTGGAATCCATTGTTCATCATCAATCGCTTCAAACTCACCTCTCCTTTAGCACCTGTGATTTGTCCTCGACACAAAGCGCACTCTGAACGACTGAACACAGAAACAAGAAGCGGAATTTGCAAGGTGTTGTAGCATCAGTAAAGACAACACGATTTATGTATGCTTGCCTACCGTATTACCCTGATAGTAAGTCTAACCTTTTTTACACTAGACTTCAGGGGCAAAGAAGGAGGTACGACTTACAACCGAGTGTGACTTCTTACTTATGTGAGTGCATTGAGACGATTCGGTTCGGACATGAGAATTGGCTGCGACTTATAATCGGCGAAATAAGGTATGTAATCAGCTACAAGGTAGTCTGGAAAGTCTTCATATTCATAGGTAACGACCTTGATCACCATTCTGACCTTGGATTACATTTAATTCTAGACTTATCTGGCTTTGGAAAATTTATTTTTCATTGCTATCAGGTTTGGCCTCATTTTCTCTGTGCTGCGCTGATGAGTCCACAAAGGACGAAACAATTCTGTTCGCAGATTGAGTAATTCTAGACTCATATGCAACTTACATAAAACAAAGTGTCTGAAGTCCTTGCTGCAAATAGTGCTCAATACCCTATCAAGGGCAAAGTGTACTACACAACGCAGAACGACAGAGACCAAAAGCTGTCTCGTTACTCCGAGTTTCGTGTTCAAAAACACTCGGACTAAACTCAGAGTCACGAGAAAGCTAGAAAGTTTAGGTCTCTGTTGTTCTGCCGTGTGCAGTTTACATCAAATAGATAACAAGATACAATGGAGATAATACAAGAGTGTATTAGGTGACAGTGTCCGTGACTCCGGCTAACTCACGTAGTTCTGTATTTCTCCAGGCATTGCAGACAGAAGTGATGGCCGCAGTTCACCACCAGGTGAGGGTCGCGCATCACGTTCGTGCAGATGCTGCAGACCAGAGTGTCGTCCACCTTTCCCGCCACGGCCAAGTCCGCGTCGATGGTGACGATGGGCGCGCCGTGCACGGTGGTCATCGTCTCGTCCGCCGTCGCACTGCCCGAGGCAGAGCTGCTGGTGACCATACCGCCGCTGCCTCCAATCATGCTGCTGTTACCACCGCTGCCGCTGACGCCAACACTACTGCTGACACCACCACCACCACCACTGTTGCTGCTGCCGGCACCTGCACCGCTGCCTCCGGACAGTGAGAAAGAGGAGTTTGGACCTGTGCACGAACAGAAGAACACAGTAGCACGACGTACAGCACAAGCTGAGCAGATACTCATCACAGTAACACGTCCGGGCCGGAGGCAGCGTCCGCGGAGCGGTCGACGAGCCATCTTGAAGGGGGTCTGGGGGTCCTCCTCCATATGTTTTTTTGGAATTTAGACGGCAAATCCTGCACTTTGGGCGATTCCCTGTACAAAATCTTACATCGAGACTTTTTCTCCCTGGTTTTGGACGTTCCACGTGGACTGACTTTTTGGGAAGTTGGTACGGCCATGGCCGTACCGGCCGTACCAGTGGCGCCGGCCCTGCACGTACAGCACAAGCTGAGCCGATATTCCTCATGGCCTAGGAGCTGTGGCATCATTCATGCTCCACAGCAAGAAGGCCTGCACCGATGGTAAAGTAAAAATAATAAAAATAACCTAGCATAACAACATAGCAGCTCCCTTTAGTAAGTACAGTACTGATAAGTACTGATCAATGTAAAAATCCAATCATGTCACTCTAGTTTGCGCCGTGCACCATTTCGCAGCCCAGTGTTCGCAGGTCTAGGGCGGCGCAATGCCCGGCGTGTACTTGAGTGACTTGACTGGATTACATTGAGCAGCCCCGCAGTACTCTGGATATAAAAAACAGCGGCGGTTAGCCAAAATCGGCCACGGGAGCGGTGCGCTGCACTGCACCAGCACAGAACGCGACCACCTCAACCTCCAAGAATAGGCTGTGCATGTTAGTACATGATAACCCTTTCAGGGCCACTACTGATTCCACTTATTCCCGTCAGGGCACACGCTGACGCGTGCCCCAGCCAGAGTACGCATCGATTTCTGAAATATTCTGGCTTTCGTTGTTTGTTTCGTTGTTGGTCCAACTTCTCTCATTGGCTGCTGCCTGTTTTTGTCCTCATCTTTCCTTGTGCGCTTTCTACGAGGCACGGTTTGGTTCGGCAGCGTGAGACAAGGGAGACTATGACCTGTAGTAAAAAAATACACTGATCCCAATGGTTAAGGTCACAGGTTGACCGGAGCAGCAGTTCCCGAGTTATAACAGTTTGAAGTTTTCACGGAGTTTGGTGACATCACTAACTTGCCTAAAGTAGGCCGGATTTATGACAGACGTTGTATGGGAGTAGATGGAGAAAAAACAGTTTCTTTCTTGTTTCTCTACATCAATGAACTTCTTACCAGAATTTTTCCCAAGTTGGGATACCGGTAGGGTGCCATATGTCCCATACGGAAGTCTTAAAAACATCATGACTTCTCTTGAGCAATGGAGAGCCAACATACTGCTATTCCCTATCTACTCCCATACAAAGTCTATCGTAATTGAAAAGACCTACGTACGGTAACACGGTTGCGTGATGTGGGGGTGAGTGCGTCACGAGTGGATGGAATGATATCATTTTCCAAAATGGCCGACCTGGGGACAGTAGCGACATCCGAGCCCAGCAGCACTAACTGCCCTCCAGGAAATATCTATTACACGGATGCAACAAATTTCGCAATGTTGGTCCAAATCCGCCATTTTCTGCAAAATCCGCGATTTCTCGTGTTTTTTTAATTTTGTTTTCGGCACTTTTTATACTTCGTTTATGCTTTCCATGATCATTTACATTCCTTGCACAGTAAGACTCGTACTAGTGCGCAAATAGCGGTTCCACGGATGCAACAAATTCCGTGAATTGGGCCCAAATCCGCAATTTTCTTCTAATTCCGCCAAGTCCCAGCAAGTTCCGCATCTTTTCCACGTACATATTTCTACATTGTTATTATTATTATTATTATTATTATTATTATTCACAATCACGTGGCACTAGCCAATGAAATGGTGATGTGGGCGATAGCCAGCCATGGCGGTAATAGAGCTAGAGGGGAGAAAGAAAAAGAATGAAAGGGGAACTGAAAAGTAAGAGAAGCTAGGGCAGGGCTGGATATCAACTAGCATGTTGCATTCTGCAGTAGCTGTGTGAATACATGTAGTGTGTCCGCACTTTTTGTCGCATTCTTTAGTAATTTTCTGCCGCAATATCCTGCGCAAGTTTTCGAGACTTTTCCCCAAATTCCTACAGGGACAACGCTCAGCTAAATCCTGGAAAAGCCACTGCATCTTTCTAATGAGCCACTGCATCGTTCTAATGAGCCACTGCATCTTTCAGTGCAAACATTCAGGAAGCTTGGGCCGCAAATGCAAGAAGTACTCAAACCAGACACGAAGGGCATGTCTGTTTACGGCAATTCTGGTATTGCGAGTTTTCACATTTCGTGATGCCAAGACGTTTGCCACAAACCCTACTACAAATCCTGGCCTAATGACTCCCAGGTTGAGCTCCGGCAGGAAACGTTGCCGACAGTCTTGGAATGACTTTGCTTCGCCAGAATGAACCGCCAGTGCCCGTCTTCCATATCCAAGAATTTTAGATATGGAAAGTATTGCCACCTGGACAGCAGGCTTGCTGGTAGTAAACTTCGGCTACATTTCCTCTCAAGAATGAAGAAAAAATTCAAAATAAACGGGCAAAGACTTTACAAGTACTACTATCCAGCCCTAAGCGGACCAAAGAGAAAAGGAACTCCAAGGCATACCTGCATAGCCGGTCGTGAGTGTGCGATACGCGTCAGGCGAGTTGACCCCAATAGCGCCGCGAGATAAATGAGACGAGTCAGCCATTCTTGCGTCCCTTGCCAGTTGCTGAACGGGCTGAGCTCCTCTAATGTTTTTGGTTGCTTCACGCTCTGGCTGAAGGCATGAAGCAGCTCCGCAATTGTCTTCGGCTGGTTTTCGAGGAGCAAGTCTTGTTTGCTGAACGCCTCGCTCACCTTTCCTGCAATGAGACAGAGAGAGAGACTGGACCTTCGGAGCTGTGGAGGAGAGCAGACGACTCGACTAGTGGCAGTGCCCGCACTACACTAGTGGTGCAGCGCAGTGGCGGAAAACAGGGGATAGTGCGCAGTGGTGACACTGTCACTGGCCCGGCACTACAGTCAGTACAGGCTACAGCACACATTCGTTGATGCTAGTACTACAGGTTCAGCTGTAGTGTGGTGATCATGGTGATTTCGTGCAGCATCGATCAAAAATCAGCTCTGGCCCAGGCCAGGGAGCCCTTGTCTGCCCCTAGACCATGACCATGATGACTGTAGACATACTCCGGTGTGTCACTATGAATGAGGTGGGGATCCCTGCTCTGGCGCATGGCCGGTGCTTTTCATCCCTGATTTACCAGAATATCGGGGACTGCGATGATGCAATGATTTGTAGTGCTTGCACTTGCAGTGAGCTCAGCTGACTGCATGCATGCACTGTACAGTCTGTAGACGTACTACTAGACCATGGACCATGGTAGAGAGCAGGGAGTATCGTCGCGAGGAGCAGTCATGCAGATCTACTACCACAGACTCAGTCATGTCACTCTCATTGTGTAGTAGATCCAGAACGCGAGCGTGCAATGACTTACATGTATGTGGGCAATGTAGGTCTTGCGATCAGAAATACTCAATCTGCGAACAGAACTGTTTCGTCCTTTGTGGCTTTGTTGACTCATCAGCGGCAGCGCAGCACAGGGAAGATGAGGCCGAACCTGATAGCAATGAAACATTTAAAATAGTGTACGAAGTACATGAATGCATATGTGCACAGTGAAAATGAACAGACTTGGAATGGTACAATTTCCAACGGCCAAAAAGAATTGGAAAGTTTGTGTCTCTGTGGGTAATAAAATCTATGAAGAGCGTGGAGGCCGCAGACAACACCACGCAACTTGACAACTTGGTAGAGGTAAAACAATGACTGTGTTTGTATCAAGGTTCAAGAATCGATTTTCAGGCTCCGATCATCAGTGGAGATATGGAACTAAAGAGATCACGTGAATAAACAAAAGAAAAGAGAAAAAAACACATGAGAACAAGAAATGCAGCAACTACATTTATCCACGACTGTATTAAAACAAGATGATAAACAGTCAGAAAGTGCGACAATAAGGCACACACAGAACTGACAGGCTACTGAGACATTCAGTGACCCAAGACCTACACTGTAGCTCTACCGAGTTACTTCAATGTTACTTCAATGTTACTTCAATGTTACTTCAATGTTACTTCAATGTTACTTCAATGTTACTTCAATGTTACTTCAATGTTACTTCAATGTTACTTCAATGTTACTTCAATGTTACTTCAATGTTACTTCAATGTTACTTCAATGTTACTTCAATGTTACTTCAATGTTACTTCAATGTTACTTCAATGTTACTTCAATGGTACTTCAATGGTACTTCAATGTTACAAGTACTTCAATGTTACTTCAATGTTACTTCAATGTTACTTCAATGTTACTTCAATGTTACTTCAATGTTCATCATTTTGGTACAGTTACAGTCGCGAATAGTTGCTGCATAACTCGTTCTCATGTGTTTCTTCTCTTTTTTTTACATTATTTTTTACTGGCTCAGTATCCGAGTTTGAGTACACAAAGTTTAACAATCCAGTAACGTATGACACATGACGCGTAAATACTGCTAAAATGAGGCAGAGGCTAAAGATAAAGATAAAGATAGAATTTTTTTTAAGCCTCTTATGCGGGCAATCACAGAACATGATTTCACTGGCCTGACCGCGGCAACAACTGCAAAGCAAAACAAAACAAAAATGTAAATAAAAAGATAAAGATAGAATATACATGTACATGTATACACGTACATGTACATGTAAGTGTGCCAAATGTAAATGTATTTCATGATAAATGCAGAAACAACTCCTGAACAAGGGGGTGTACATTGTACATGTAGACTCATGATAATAACCTGGCATATGGTTCCCTGCCTTCTTGCTGTGCTTTGGCTGGAAAGGTGTTCGACTTGACTTGACTTTAATAGTGCAACAACATTGCTATTTTTGCTTACATGTACACAGATCAGGCTTGTGCGCGCGAATATACAGCTTCAAGAACCATCAACTGCTGAAAGGGCAGGACACAGTACACGGAAACCACATTCAAACCTCTACGGAGTTACTTCAATAGTTGTCATATTGCGTGATGATGTCTGCAACAATCATACTCTTCATAGCTGATAAACTACATTTATCACTCTCCGCATAGATTATTTCTTCGTGGGGAAGGTAGAATATTGGGGCATTTGGCCTTGTGCGAAATCGCACCAATTTGGGCCTTTTGGGGACTTCCCCAAAACTTTTTGCTTCAGCGAAAATGCGGTTCGCTAACCGCATTCCTGTCACCTCGCAGTGGCCGTTTCGTATTTTGCAGTTTGTTCAGCGCTTCTTGTTGAGGCGGAGCATCGCGGACACTTCAATGGTCTCCTCAAGGGCAGTACTCTGCTCACGGTAGTGAAAGAGTTGCGAATTACTGTATAGCAGGAAATTTTCGGACCGAAATATTTTCGGACAAAGCGGAATTTTGACCTTTCGTGCGGATTTTATTTTCGTACAGTGCTACATGCTAAATGCACGTGTTCTCATGCGGTACGCATGTATAGTGTACATGACTCAACAGGAACAAATTTTAGTACGGAATTAATTATTTAAGTACAAAAGGGGCCGTGTACGAAATTGTACGAAAATAAATTCCGTCCGAAAATTTCCTGCTATACAGTAGTTTGTGAAAGTGAAGAACGTTGCGAAAGTTCTTTCAAAACAACAATTTGCGAAAAAGTGACGAGCATCTTTGGGAAAGGGCTAGCGTCTTCCGTCTTGCCAAGAACACGAATTCAGCTTTGTGTACTTCTACATGGTACATGTACGGTATAAGCGCGGTGTTCCCCACGTCTTGACACAACGAAGTGTCATTGCTTCTATACTGTTAGGTAACCCGGTCTGAAACAGTTTCGATCTGCAGCATCTTCTTTTTTAAACACAATACTAGCCTCTGTGGGACCCTGCACCACTGCGTACTGATCAGGTGAAGTACCTGACTGCACGCCTGAAACGTGTATGACAGAAACGCGGTTTCGTATCAGTCTCAAGCCGAAATCGGCATCTTTGCAAAGTGGGTCGCGGCTTTGCCAGCTTTGTTTCCATACCACGTTCTGATGGGACGTGACAGGGAAAGTATTCTGTATGGCAAATGTACACGGACCCTTCTCGATGTGCATTCTAGCCCTGGAGCGATCCGCCAAGAAAGATCCACATCGAAACACAGTGGTGTGTGCCACCAGGAGGTAGGTACTATTTTGCTGATCCATCTCCAAACGTCGACGTGTCCCGAGCTCAGAGGCTCAGTCGTCACGTGGTAGCGAAGTGCCCTATAAAAGAATCGTTCTACGCCCCCGACGAACTTGTAGAGCCAGGTGTGGAAACAAGTGGATTTTCAATTCGAAGTCGCATAGCTGGTTTAGGTGATAGAGAACGGTTTGTTGATTGTATGGACAGAGTAGTAGTGTTCACTAAGCGAAAAGATATCGCAGAAATCAACAGGGTTACCGGGAGTGTAATGCACATGTATCTGAAGTGAATCAGTAACGGAACAGTTCACATACGGGCAGACCCAGGGTCATTTACAATGTCAGGCACCAACAGTCATAACGACGTAACGGTCCCTCTCGGGGCCGCAAGCAAGGTTATTCTGGTAATGAAGAAGGTGTTTAGTGAGGATGCATCGACGGCCTCCCTTGCTATGCTCTACAATACCTTACTGGCAAAGGAGATAGCATCATATCCAGCAGCGCCGGGAACGAGCTCAGGCAACAGCGGCACTCCGGCTACGTATAACCGAACAAACGGAACGGCCCACGCCACCTCCGATGGAGGCGTCTGTGCACCAAGTGTCGACTGGTACGTCTGGTTACTGTTTTCTACTTTTACCATCGTCTACGCGGCCAAGACCATAAAGCTGGCTTATGATAGCGTAGCCACACCACCCATAATCCATCGCAGAATGTCCAGCCGCACTGAGGTAGTGCACAGAGACGCAGGACATTCAGTTGGCATCAAGGCAGCCACGCTGTTCAAGATCGTGTTCTTTCCCATACATCTACTGATCACTCACAGTATTCCGTTAGTATGCTCGTTTGTGGCGGGTGATAGCTCCACAGTGGTGTACGTGCAAGCCTGTATTCAACTGGTCGTTGTGCTACTGGCGTTGGCTGCACACTACCCTGTACCCGGGCAAAAGGAGCCGCCAGTGCCCCATAAAGACGATGGCTTCTTGAAGGCATTGGGTGAAAGCACAAACGTAAACCAATCCGACCTTCTGATCGTTTCGATGTATCACACCGTCATCAAGTTCCTGGAGGCCCAAGATGAACGGGACTGCACGAAAGCTATGAGTGGAGTGGGTCTCACTGCGTTCATTGTGTTTTCGCTGCTTGCAAAGGTGAAGCAGTATGTAAAGATTTCATCAAACGACCAGTGCAGCTGCGGATGTCAGCTGGAATTTGTTCCTCCCGCATCCTGTACACACTTTATGGTGAGCACGGGTCGCACCTTGGTGCTGATTGTGTTCCTGATTACATCGAATACGCTGCCGCTGCGCTGCTTCCTGGATGCGTCCGATCTTACCAAGCTGAGTTACGCCCATAGCGGATTGTCTGCGATCGCCAGCGCGTTGCTCATCCTTTCACATATTTCCACACTCTCACATAAAATTGAATATTGATATGAGCTTTTCTTGTGAATCGTCGTACACGTGAAGCAATGTTCATTCGTGATAAACGCCCAAGTGTTAACAGGGATCGTGGCTGGAGACGGCTGGACACAGTGGGAAATTATTGTGTTAGATGCTGGTGTTGTAAATTGTGGTAGACTGTGATGATGCGAATATATTATGATAATATTTGATATTTGATGTTTATGTGTGCTAGCTGGTTATATGGTTATATAGTGCTTAGCAAATAGTTGTCGTCATCTTTGTCTTCACACCCATGTACCCAGCTACATTGCATGCTTTGCATTCTATTCTCCATGTCACTAGCACATATTCACACTTACA